GGGGGGGGGGGGGCGGCGCGCATCTCCCCCTGTCTGGGGCCACGCGACAGCTCTCGCCTGTCGCTCTTGACTTGTGTGTGTCCTCCGAGGGACACTCCCTGACCCGGACGCTCCCTGACTCAGACACTTCCTGACCCGGACACTCCCTGACCCGGACACTCTCCGACCGGGACATTCCCTGGACTGGACACCCCTGACCGGGACACTCCCTGAACAGGACACCGCGAAGCCAGGAGCGGGAGGACCCAGCTCATGCCTCCAGGGAGCATGGCCTCCGCGTGGAGGGAGCACAGGAAGGAGGCGGCCATGGCCATCATGGGGACACGCGCCCCTCTGGGGCCTGAAGGGGGCAGAGTCTGCCCTGGCTGAAGCCTGGTGCGGAGGCGGCCTGGGGGTTTTGCCTCTGGAAGGCTCAGAGGCGCCACGCAGCGCACAGCAGCGCTTCCCTCCTGGGCCAGGAGGCCCCTTCCCCTCTGGGCTCACCTCCCCGCCCCGCCCTCCTCCTGCTGCCAGACGGTTTCCTAAAATCACAGGGCGGAGAAGGCCTTGCGCACCACTGTAAACAAGGCACGCTAATTTTCATTAAGCTTGCATTGCAGCATATCGTTTACATTCTTGCCCTGCTCGAGCAATGAAAAATGTACGATGTGAAAGCGGCTTCATTTGAGCGAGAATGACGGTGAAGTGACCCGCTGTTCCCTTGGACAGAACACTTAGAAGCGAACGCCCAGCGGCCCTCTTCCGGGTCCCAGCCTGACACTCTCGGGCAGACGGCTTTGCAGGGGCCTGCTGGTGGCCCCCTCTTCTCGTCCCTCGCTGCAGACTGCTCTCTCTGCTGACAGCCGCGGGGCCACAGCGGGCCCTGGAGCGGGAGAGGCTGGGCGGCTGCTGTCGGTGACGTGCTCTGCACTCTGCGGTGCCGCCGCTCAGCTGGGGAGGGCCAGCGGTGCGAGAAAGGCGGGGGCACGGTGGCTGGCAGGCCACAGGGACACGGAGGGCCAGCGCAGGGAGATTCTTGCTCGGGCTGGTCCTGGCAGCACAGCTCCAAGGACGGAGCACGCCTGGAGGCTCAAGAAAGACCTGCAGACTCCGAGAGGCTGCAATCGATAGCGCTTTCCCTTGAAAGCCTATAAATGGTTTTCTGAAGTTGCTTTTTGGCCTGGCACTCGGGGAATGCGTTCCAGTAGCTTTCCTTCGTGACGTGGCCTGCCTCCCTGTCGCCCCACCTCCCTGTCTCCTTCCCTGGTGCCCAGGGCTGCGGGGGCAAGCGTGAGCCCCAGGAAGTGCTGCCGTCCTCTCCACGTGACAGTGGCGTGCTGGGCCAGGGGCTCAGCCACGGGAGAATCCTAGCCTTTGAAGGAGCGACCCGATCCTAAAGGAGCGCCTCGGTGCGTGCTGAGTGCAGGCAGGACGCAGTCAGCCTCCCCGGGAGCCGAGCTGAGGACCAGGCAGGCCCTGGCAAGGGATTGGCCAGCCTCCAGTGCCACGCGCCTCCCCTGCAGGCCTCTGAGCACCGGGGCTATGTCGCCCTGGCTGCTTTGCTGGGCCAGGTGCTCGACGAAACCCAAGCCCGGCCACCTTCCTTCCTCACCTGACTGGGCCGGTGCAGGCAGCCAGGCGGGGCTGAGGCTCAGATGACACCCGGACGCCGTGCACGCTGCGCTCTGGCTCACACTGCGCCATTCCCCGTGGGCAGCCGCACACCTGTCCCCTGCCCTCCAGGAAGGCTCTTTCTGGAGGCCACATCTGCCCAGACCCAGGAGGACTGTGACTACAAAGTCAGTGGCAGTGAGCTGGGCTCCAGCGCTGACCCACTGGGCACTGTGGAAGGCCGGCCTGCTTACTCACTGACACCAGGAGAGCCTCAGTCCCCCAGGGTATCCACACCCACTCTGCTCTCAGCTTTGTCTCAGCCTGGCTCGCCTGTCTTCAGACTTGACCCTTTCGTCGCCCCACAAACTGTGCGCATGGCTGATCCTTGGTATTGCCCACGGGCTGTGACGCTGGTGCCTGTCCATGTCGCATGGACACAATCAAGGCGCCTGCCATGGCTCAGTGGAACTCACTAGCCCGGCCCCCTTCCTTTGTGGTGACTGAAGAAAGGGGAGGCTTTCGCTGGCTCCCAAACCCCCTGGGCGGAGAGGCACAGGCGTTCTGATATGATGCGGAAGTTCATACTCATCAGAGAACACCAATTGTGAAAGCATCTTAAAACCAGGGTGCCAGCCCATGTCAGGGTCAAATACTCAAAAAACAAAACAAAACAAAACAAACACCAAAACTAGGGCACCACACTTCAGCAACGAGTTTGAATACAGCGGACCCAGGGCGTTTACGCAAGCTTTTCTCCTCATGCCCCAAGCCCCGCCCCGGCCCCGCCCCCCCAAATAAGAATGGACGTGGACATGACTCACTGTGAACTGGATTTGGCAGCCGCCCATGATGTAGTCCAGGAATGAGTGCATCTTGTGGACCTGCACGGAGGAGGAGGGGGCTGGTTAGCGATGGCGTGGGCCGCTTCCTGACCTGGCAAGGACCTGGCCCTGGGGACAGGCCACCCGGCCAGTGGGAGGACCAGGAAGACCTCTGTGGAAGGGGTGGGTGTGCTGACTTGGCTCCGCCGAAGGAGAGAATGAAAGCAAGGCCGGCGCGGGGCCTGAGGGCTGCCCACGCCCTGCTGCGTCCTGTCTGGGATTATGGACGATTCCCATCCGCTTCTGCCTCTGGGGTGAGGCCAAGGTGCATTTTCAAGGGGCACTCCTGTTGACCCTTGAAAACACTGTCCTGAGCACTGTACTGGACACTGCAGGCAGTCGTAGCACCATGGCAAGGATTTGTGCATCTCAACCTCTCTAAACACCGAACGGGAGTAGTCAAGACACCATGAAAGATAAAAGATGGCACACCCGTGTAGGGTGCTACACGAATGGAGCCCGCAGGCCTGGACATTGCTCTGGGGAGTCCGTGAGTGATGGCGAGTGAGCGTGAAGGCGGGGACATCACTGTCCACTATGGAGGGGCTACAAACACCGGACACTAGGGCTACCCTACGTTTATAGGAGAGAGTTGTGTTATGATGCTCCCATGGCTACAACATCACACAGCAATAGGAATTTTTCACTCCATTATAATTGTATGGAACCACTGTCACATGCATGGCTCACGGTTGACTGAGATGTCATTATGCAGGCATAACTGAAGAGTACACATGTGTGGATGACACATGTTCCTGGTCCTGCCATGGGTAGGACCTGATAATCCCAACGTGAAGTCAAAATATCACAAGTTGAGCCCTCCTAGGTTAGGAACTATCATATGGAGGTATATCTATTTGTGCAGGCACCCCTTCTATCGCACGTCATTTTACTGAGCTTGGCAGATGCAGAATTTTTTTACAGATCGAAGGATTGTGGCAACCCTACACTGAGCAAGCCCATCGATACTATTTCTCCAACAGCTTGTGCTCCCTTGTCTGTGTCACATTTTAGTGATGCTCAACCTCTTTTACTCATGCCATGTCTGCTAGGTGATCTGGGATCACTGATCTTTGGTGTTGCTGTTGAAATTGTTTGAGGGTTCCACAGACTAAACTCACATAAGATGGCGACCTTTATCGATACATGTCCTGACTGCTCCATCGAATGGTCGTTCCTATCCCTCTCCCTCTCCTCGGGCTTCGTTACTCCAAGACAAAACAATATTGAAATCCGGCCAGTCAATAACCCTACAATGGCCTCCAAGTTTTCAAGTGAGAGGAAGACTCACAACTCTCTCATTGCAAACCAAAAACTATACATGATGGACCTTAGTAAGGAAGGCAGGCCCGAACGCTGAGATGGGCTGAAAGCCAGGCCTCCTGGCCCCATTAGCCATGTCATGATGCAAAGGAAAAGTTCTTGAGGGCAATTAAAAGTGCTGCTCCAGTGAACACACAAATGATAAGAAAGGGAAACAGCTGAATTGCTGATATGGAGAAAGTTTCGTGGTCTGGTTAGAAGATCAAACCAGTCACAACATCCGCTTAAGCCAAAGCCTAATCCAGAGTGAGGTTCCAGCTCGGTTCCATCTCTGAAGGCTGGGAGAGCTGAGGAAGCTGCGAGAGAAAAGGTGGAAGCCGGCCGAGGTTGGTTCATGAGGTTTAAGGAAAGACACTGCCTTCATCACGTGAAAGTGCAGGTGAGGCCGCCAGTTCTCCAGAAGATCCAGCGGAGATCCTGGGTGTAGGGGGCTACGCTAAGCGACAGATACTCAGTGTAGGTGAAACAGCCTTCTATGGGACGAAGAGGCCATCTTGGACTGTTACAGCTAGAGAGGAGTTAATGTCTGGCTTCAAAGCTTCAAAGGACTCTCCTGTCAGGGGCCAATGCAGCTGGTGACTTTGAGTTGAAGCCAGTGCTCACTGACCATTCTGGAAATCCTAGGACTCTTAGGAATTATGCTAAATCTCCCCTGCCTGTGCTCCGTAGATGGAACCACAAAGCCTGGATGACAGCACATCTGTTTACAGCATAGCTGACTGAACATTTAAAGCCTGCTGTTGAGACCTACTGCTCAGAAAAAGATTTCCTTCAAAATATTGCTGCTCTTTGACAAAACGCCTGGCCACCCAAGAGCTCTGACAGGGATGTATAAGGAAATGAATGTTGTTTCCATGCCTGCTCACACAACAAGCATTCTGCAGCCCGTGGGCAGAGGGGGCATTTTGACCGTCAAGTCTTATTGCTTAAGAAACACATTTTGTAAGGCCATTGCTGCCATAGTGATCCCTCTGTTGGACCAGTCAACTGTTTGTCAAAACTCAGTATGTTTCTTCCACAAATCGTGACACAACCTTCTCAAAGCTGCCAGATAAAAACTGGTTGACATTTGACCTGGAAGAACAAATTCTGAGTGTACCACAAGGGGCTAGCCCCCCAAAAGAATTCTGGGTTTTTGGGGTCCCCCTCAAATGTCAAATATCCCCATCAATATATCAAATTTCTGGTTGCTATTTTTTAAAAGATCACATCTTTTTGGCACGCTCTTCCTCCGACCACACCACCTGGACTCCTCGTCCCAACACTCCTGGAAGAGACAGCGGCACGCACCTTGCACAGATTCAGGATCACCAGGCCGGAGTTCTTATAGTTCTTTTTCTTGGCCTTGTACTTGGGGTTGACGCACTCCCACTGCACCTGCGGCGAGAAGGGGAGGTGTGAGGTCTGCGTAGGAAGGAGCAGAGTCATCTGGGAGGCCAGGCCCTGGAGCTGCGAGGACGCCCGGCCCATAGGGCTGACCCGCGTCTCCGCGTGACCCTGGCCTCCAGAGCAGTGATAGCCAGGAGGGGTAGATGTGAGACTCAGCGTCAGACGGCCTTGTTTGCCTCCCAGTTTTCCTTCCCCCCCGAGTGACTCGGAAATCACTTGACACCTCTATGCCGTGGGCATCTCCTCTGCAAAATGTGGCATATGTGACACCATCTCATCGGGGTATTGGGAAGAGCACAGGATTAATTCCCATGAGGAGGTGAGCACGGAGCCTGGAGCATATCGATGCTTACCGTTATTAGGTCACGTCAAACAGCAGAGGGAACGAGAAAGGGCAGAAGCACAGCTGACAGATGCCATGTGCCAAGACTCACTCCCTGGGAACTGGCTTAAATGTGGGGAAATTGAGGGACATCGAACGCCGCCTACAGGGATTTGTGGGGACAAAATGAGTCGACATAGAACTTCACCGGGAGCCAAAGCAATGGGTTGACATGTCGCAACAGCGCACAGTAGACTCTGGAGGGCAAGGGCCAGGGTGGGAGCTGCAGGGAGAGCTTGGAACTGAGGGGTTGGCCGCAAACTAGGGTCATCTCGGTCTCCAGCCAACAGCAGATGTTATGAGACAAACCCAGCGGCAATCGCATGTCTGAGAGCCCTGAGTGCTCCCGCCCACCTTCTTGCCACCGCTGGACCTTTGGATTTCCGCTGGGAGACTTTTGACTCCCTGACCACCACAAGTGTCTGGAAATGGAAGCATCCAGGCAGATGCAAATGGACAGATTGATGACAGTGGTGGTCTCCATAATCCCTTCCCCTCGGCGTCCACGCATTCGTGGTTCCCTCCTGCAGTGGTGCAGAGTCTAGTCATGTGGCTGGCTTCGGCCAACGGGGCATTACAAATGTGACAGGAGCCAAGGCCTGGGAGGTGCCTGGGACTGGTTGTCCCTTCTCTGGCTCCTGGGAAGTTTTCGGCCCCAGGGGAAAAGCCTGTGCTGCTCCCACGGAAGACGAAGGAACAGTGGGGAAGCATGGCCACCAGCCGCCAGGCTTCGGTGCCCAAGGGGTGCAGATGGCACCCCAGGGGCTCGGCCCAACCAGACAACAGCGAGTCAATGATGACTTGTTTCCAGCCCCAGTGGTGGGGCTGGTTCAGCGACAGGCAGCTGACACAGCCATTTCTCATCACCACGAGGCTCTGGCAGAAACAGGCAACCCCACCAGAGGCTGGAAGAGGGAAGTCTTGTCCTGGCTCAGGCCTCCGTCCAGAGCCGGGATTCTTGGCTGGAAGAAAGAAGGGGTCTTGGCACAGGAGATCTCCAGACTTGCTTCTGTGTAGAGGCCCGGCCTCCTGTCTGTCCCAGTCTGCCTCCCAGGCTTTCTTCTCATCCACTCTCCAGGTGGGCAGAGCTGACGAGCAGGAGTTCTAGCCCATCTCAAAGCAGACGGAGCATTTCTAGACGCAGCGCCAAGTCCTTCCCAAGCCCCACAACAGAACTCGCTTTTGCCTCCAAAGCGTCCTCTGATGTTACAGCACAAACACACGGCATAGGGAATCTAACTGGAAGGAGAAGATGCTATGAGTAGCTGTGCCCATTTTTCTGTCACTTTAGACGATTTCTGTCATCTCCGTCTCTTCGGTCAAGCAGGACAAGTCAAACGAAGCCTTGAGTGAGTTACAGATTCTGAGACCTGTTGAGATTCATAGTGGCCACCCAGGGAGGGGCCGCACACTTCCCTCTCAGGGTGGCGGCGGGGCTGGCTCCGCGAGGCAAGGGCTCAGGAAGCCACTCAAGCCTGAGGGCACTGAGGCCTTTGTGCCCGTGGGTGGGGCGGAGCCTGAGGGCACTGAGGCCTTCGTGCCTGTGGTGGGGTGGGTGCTCGTGAGCTAGGTCTTGATGTTTGGCAACCGCCTGGGGCCTGAGTTGGGTCTCTAGGGGCCACGCCCTTTGCCCCCACCACCCCGTGAGCTCTCCCCCAGCTGGCAGGTGTGACTCAGAGGGGAGAGGGGACTGGCCCCATCATGCAGGTGGCAGCATCAGCCTCCTTCCAGCACCTGGACTCCCCGCCACAGTGCCTGTCTCTGGCAGGGGCTTTGACGGGCTCACTCACTTGTTCTGGCAAGCTTCCCCTGTGGGCGCCTCCGACCAAGGGTGTTTATGAAGGTCACCTAAGGACTCATCAAGGTGAATCGCGAATTTGCCGGGTACCTTCCCAACTGTCTGAAGGAAGTGGGAGCTGGGAAGGAGGAATCTCCTCTTTTCTCTCTGACGCCCTCCCTCCTCTCCTCTTCTGTCCTCTCTGCCAAGGTATCTTCACCCTTCTCCTGACCCAAAGATCCTCTCCTAGTGAATAGCCCCTAAAATACACTCACAGGCAAGTTTCTCCTCTGAGGGCCAGTTTTTGAAACCTAATCCTCAAAGCTTCCTTCCAAACTGGGCTTCCCTGCCAAGACTCTCATCTCAGGAGACGGCACCATTTGCCCATCTAGAGGAGTCGCCTTTTTCCTCCTGCCCGAGCCTCATATCAGTCCTTCAGCAAAGCTTGTAGCTCCAAAAGAATCTTAAGCGTCTTCCTCCTCTCTCTCTCCGTCACTATCGCTTTAGCCCAAGTCACCACCTCTTGTCTCAGCTACAGTCATCGTCTCTTCACAGATCTCCCACGTCTCTCTTTAACTGTCTACACAGCAGTCGCAGTGAAGCGCTTAACACTTTAGAAAACGCAAAACCAAGCCCGCCCTCCCCTAGTCCAGCACCCTTTGTGGCACTGCCTAATAGAACCTTCTGCGGTAAGAGAATATTCTGCATCTGCGCCATCCAACATGGCGGCCACCAGCCACATGAGAGCACTTGGGATGTGGCAAGCATGACTGAAGAACCGCGTTTTTCATTTATTTTTATGTTAGCTTGCTCAAATTTAGATGTTGAGAGCCACGTGTGGGTGGTGGCGACTGCCCTGGAGAGCGCAGCTGGCGTGTGTGGGCCTCACATTTAGAAGAATTCCCCCTTCCTGGCCTGTGCTCACCCCGCCATGTCCCCTGTAGGGTCCCTCTCCCAGCTCCAGGTGCGCTGGGCTCTTGGAGGTCCTTGTCTGCACCAGGCTCTTCCTGCCTTGGTGCTCTGCAGTGCTGTTCCCTCCGCCTGCCGTGCTTTCCTCACCCTGTCACCTCGTGGGCTTCTTCTTAAGCCTTGAGGGGTCTCAGCTCACATGCTGCCTTGCAGGGATCCCTTCTACGCATGCCCCTTTATGGCTGAGCTGGACGGGTTTTGACAGCATGGGTCACGAGGTGTGGCCACACTTCCATTTTTTGAGGGTCTGCTCTATATTTCTGGTCTCCCTGGACGCCCGCTGACCCACTGCTCGGGAGGGCAGGACCGTGTCAGTGCAGGGCGGGGAGCTCTTTGGGCCACCTCAACAAATACTGGGGAGTCTGCACGTCCTAGGTCCCCTTTTGAATATGCCACACTAGGGCTGGGGGCGGAGTGGAAGCGTCTCTGGCTTCTCGGTGACACAGAAAAGTGATTAGCATGGGGTCTGTTTCCTCCGTGGAACTTGAAGATCGTCGCTGTTCGGGACAACCCCCTTGGGTCCCCTTCCACCGTGGGAGCTCTTCTGTCCTCTCATTCAAACCTGCTTTCTTTGCTTAAAAAAAAAAAGCTCGTCTCTGTTTGAAAGCATCAGGCTTTGGGGTTTTTCAATTATGGCACGTGTTGCAATCTTACATTTAATGTCCTCCTAGGAGTGGGAAGAGGAGCTGTTTCCTGCACCTACCGATTTGCCTATCTGTTTCTGGAGGTGACAGCAAGGCTTCCTGCTTTAGTGCCCGGCAGCTGGGGACAGTGCTGTCGCTGGTTGATCAGCTCCGCAGGCCTGGTTCTACCCTTTCAATAGAGTCGCGTCTCTCTGACTGTCTTCCTTGTTTTCCTGGAAGTGGCTTTCCGTGTGATTTAGTGCTGGCTTCAATGGTGACCCTGAAGCCCCGCATGCCTGCTTGTGGGGAAGGCCTCTGTGTGCTGGACAAACTTCTTGCGATGCGGGGCATGCAGCAGAACACGTCAGTGGGCTGTGCAGAGGCAGAGTGGAAACCCTTTCCTGATGTCCGGGCCCATGTATGTATGCAACAGATGGTCTGCTCGACTAGACTCTATTCCTGGAGATGTTGGTTCATTCCTACCCAGGCTGATGGAACCCTGCCCTCTCCCAGAGAGAGCTGAAAATCAGGTGGATGTCCCCAACCAGCACGTTGGATCAGAACAGACATGTGTTCTGCCTCCAGGGAACAGACTAGCCCAAAGCTGCTCAACCCTCTGCTCCCTCTCCTTCAGGACACGACGCAGTCCAGAGCAGGCACGGCTGTCCCAGGCGGGGTCCCCAGAAGTGAGCTCTGAGGTGAGGATGCGGGTGCAGGTGAGCCACAGGCCGGCGATGCTGGGGGCCCAGCATGAAGCAGGGATTCCACAGAGGCGGAGCCAAGACAGGTGTGTTGCCAAGCCAGGTGCCTCTGCAGGCAACTTTGGCTCAGAGCTGCTGGGACCCCGAGACACTGCAGGTGGCACACCCAGGTCGTGCCGTCTGGAGGGCCAGGGAGCTGGGGTGCGTACACCCGGTCCCCGTTAGCTATTTGCTGAGGGCTGCTTCCTGCAAGGTGTTACATCCTCCCACACTCCCAGCCGGCCTTGGGCAAAATGGCTTCTAGCTGCCAGAGAAGCCCTCAGGCAAGGAGGGCTTGGGTGGCAGGTGTGGCAGGGACACTGGGCAGGTGGCCACTGACCAGGCGAGAGGAGAAATTGCACGGTCGGGGTCTGGGCAACAGGGATGGACGATGCGTTTACACACACGAAAGTGTGTGCTTCTGGAAGGGTGTGAGGCTATGGGTGGGGCCGGTGGCAGCAGGTGGGCACATCCTGGGTGTGAGTGGCATGATGGGACCAGGGCAAGACCCGGTGGCCATGGGAGGATCTGGAGAGACGCACTCTTTCTCCACAGCAGAAACTGTGGCACAGATGCCACCAAGCAAGGAATGTGGAGCGGGGAGAGTCCCATGGCGGCCGGTGAGACCCTGGGGCCCGAGCTGTGCGCGTAGTGAACTGCCCCATTGAATCCTCTCACAGTTCTGTGAAGCAGGTACAACGATCAGGCTCACACCTCGGGCGAGACACAGGAGGCACAGAGAGATCAAGTCACTTTCCTGAGGCCCCACAGCCAGAGGAAGCCAGAACGATTCTCGTTTGGACTTTCCATTTTGCCGTCGGGGAAGCTGCGCCCTCTGGGGGCAGCACTTGGTCCAGGGGGGCGCGACGGCTGGGGATCGGGCCAGTCCCGGAAGCCCGGCCCTCCGACCCCACCACACCACCTCACGCCCACGCGTCGTCCCCGCCGGTCGTGGCTGGGTGCGCAGGACGCCTCGGGGAGCGCGAGGGCAGAACCGCGCGGGGGTCACGCACCTGCTTCCCCTCCAGCGCCCCTCGCATCTCCTTGAAGGTGGACGTGAACTCCCCGATGAAGTCGTGCTTGCCGTTGGAGTCCCAGTCCCACACGATGCACTGCAAGAGAAACGGGCGCCTGGTCGAGACCCAGCGGGCAGCCACCGTGGCGGAGGCCACGGGCCTCGCAGGAGAGCGGGCAGAGGACGCTGGTCTGGACCGTCTGGCCTGGGAGCCTGGGGCTGCCCCCGGGAGACACGTGGCCCTCAGTGTGGGTGGGGCCCTTCGATGAAGGCGGCCCCACCCAGAGAGTGACACGGCGGCAGCCACGTGGCGCTCCCTGAGCCTGGGGCTGCCGGGCGGGGGACGCGGGTCCCTCTGGCGCCCCCGGCTTGTTCAGCCTTTTCACCCGGCCCCACGCAGCCTGTGGTTCGGCCGTGACTGCAGCCATCTGCCCGTTTGCCAGACGCGGCCGGCAAGACCCAACGGAGGGAAGCGCCTCGCTGAGGGCGCCCTCTGGTGCACAGAAGCCTGGGGCTCGCGGGCGGGTGGCCCGCCTCCCGGGCTCACAGCTGGCGCTGAGGCCCCACGTGGCATGCCACGTGGCTGCCGCCGTGTCACTCTCTGGGTGGGGCCACCTCCATCTCGTCTTTCCTTTCCTGATTTTTTTCTGAGGCAAAGACCGATGACGGCGAAAATGAGTAGCCAGGCCAGACAGTGAAATGTTCAACTGTACCCAGGGAATCATCGGGTGGAAGAGTGACAGGCCAGCCACGCTGCTGAGCGTCACACACGCGTCATGCGTGACACGACACACAGCCGGCCACCTGTCCCAAGACGGCTCCTTCTACCAAGGCCGGGGCTGCATTCTGGGCTCCCAGGTGACACTTTGGGGCGTGGCCAGCTCAGGGCAGTCCCTCGCCCGGCCCACGTCTCCGTGAAGTGGAAGGGCTCCGTTTCTTCCAGGGCTCAGACCTCCCTCCGGCCTCGTGAGCCAGGGACTTGCAGCAAAGAAGTCCCAGGCCTCAGACTCGCCCCGGGCAGGACGGGACCTTGCCCACAGAGGTCTTCCCTGGAATGTCAGGCTCTGAGGCAGCCTCGTCCCCCTCGGAACACCGGGCGCGCCGCAAAACCCAGACCTGCTGATCCATCCCCAGATCCTGGGGATGCCCCAGAGATGACAGCAAGACACATCCGACGAAGCCCAGTCCCCCCGGGCTTGCCCCCACTCCCGTGGTCTCCGTCACAGCGAAGGGCACGCACCCTGCTCCGGCTGGCACACACAGAAAGCTGGGCACGGCCCTCCCCCTCGCCCTCCAGGCCGGGCCCTCTCCTTCTGCGCTCTGCACACGGCTGGGGTGTCCCGCGTGGCTGGGCCCGCCCCTTCGTCCCTCTCCCCCCCCTCGGCCTCCACGCCGGGCCATCCCTTCTGTGCCCATGAGGCTGGGCCCGGCCCTCCCCTCCACTCGGCTCCTTCTCTGGCCTCCAGCTGCCCCCACAACCCCTGGGATCTCAGCTCCCTGCATGAAGGCCAAGTGTCCACAGGCTAGTGGCTCTCCCGAGGTCCGCCACGCCCCGACTCCCACCTTCCTGCGTTCGCACTTCGTGGCCCATGCGGACAACGGGCCAGCGCTTCCCTCAGAGGGGGCTGGCAGGTGTCTGCTGAGGCCTCGTAGAGCAAAGCTCGTTTCTCAGCTTCTGTTCTCTCTCTTTTTTTTTTGAGTTGGAGTCTCACTCTGTCGCCCAGACTGGAGTGCAGTG